GTTTAAATAATTTTGCAAATAGTTTTGTAAAGAAAAAGAAAAAGCATGAAATGTGTTCTGTAGATCTAAACGGGTGTCTAATGATATACCCCTGCAGAATACAACCGAGGCCACCATGAAAACAAGCTTGACGAGTAACACAGGCCGACAGATGAAGAGGTTTCACACACACGGTGGCTAAAGCCTGAGGTACTTAGAGCGTATTCAGTCATCTCCAATACTGACAGATGATATGAAGCCTTGTCTGCATTGATACCAGAAAAAAGCACTTCAGAGGACTCCTGTATAATTTTGCAAAGACGTTTAAAGGCTCCACAGTTTGAGTTCCTGCCTGCTGGTTGTTCTTCCCCTCTCTGTAATATTTAGCAGCAGATAAGCTCTCTCTCTTACATTAGTGTGCTACATCACTGCCAGCTAGAGGAATGGGGGGCCTTTCCTCCTATATGTGATACAGTTCCTCCCTGCCAAGCTCAGCCACTGCCACTATCATTCGGCTGCTGAGGACTTTGGGTCTCAGCCATTTTCTGCACCTGCCAGACTCATAAAGAATCCCCCTGTTCCTGCGGGGGCCCCAAGGCAGGATCTGCCACAACTGTTAAGGACGTTGCGATTTAAACATTCAAGCCAAAGCTTTGACTGTCAGGGATGCCAACGATTTGGCAGATGGTCGGTTTTGTTCGGCTGATCCCATCAGCAGGGTATTTGTGGTGTTAAGATGAATGAGTGGTTAGGATTTTTCACAAGGGGTTAAAAAAAAAACAAAAAAAACAACCAAACAAATACAAGTATGCCTTGGTTTTACATCAGGGAAATGACCTCCTGTTAAAGGAAATGTCTCCTTCTTGGCTAAGGGCTGCTTTTCTAAGAGCTCCTTGAGTTTTTAGCACAGAAAATTTTGGTGAAGTGGATTGAGTGGACATCCGTATTCAAACCTCCTCTCACTCTGGGCGTACAGAGACTCCTGAGAAATAAACAAATGAGTCTGTCTCTACTTTAGCAGAGCGTTGTGTGGCAAAAATTTCATGCAAAATGACTTTTTGTAATGCCATCAGCTAAATGAGGCACATGAAAGACATAATGATAAGACATGAGATATACCTTTGTTTCTCCATTGTGGGAAGATTTGGTTCAAATGAGCCGTGCAGAAATGTATCAGGCATTCGAAGCTATAGTCTTATTTAAAAGGCACATTATTACTTCTATTTTTAAATATCAGCAATATATTAACTGCCTTTTTTAGCTTAACAATACAAAAGCTATAAACATACTAAAATAAGGCAATGAGAAAGCGACAGGATTTGGATATTTTTCTTAAATCATTATGTAGGAACTTCTTTACAGTATTGCTATATTGCTTTTTGAGCAAGTTTGGTCTGAGCCACAGGTGTTTGAGACATAGTTTCATAGATAGAGTGGTACAAGGTTAACTTTATTAATACCTGTAGGTGGATTTGTTTTGCAGTCTGGAAAGGGGAATCTCAAACATGTTGAACAAACCTTAAAAATAAAATGCAGACGTTTATGATCTACTTACTGTAATGTAGCCAGGTCTGGATCAGCAGCCCCTAAACCCCTTTGTGCTGGTAGGTGTCTATTTACCACCATTTCTTGTTGGGTATCATCTTTACTCAGGGTATTTTCCAGATGTTCGGCGCTTCAACATTAGTAGCCATTCAAGTTTTCCCCACTGTCCTTGGTGGGCCCTTGGCTGGTCCCTTACATTTCTTTTTTAAACATCAGTCTTTGTACTAAAATATTATTTCTGTCATGGTTTGTGCACATTGCATTAAAGAATATGCAAGAGGGCATCCCTCCAGTTTTGGGAAGTTGGAGAGGATTCTGCTAGGAGTTGCAGGGAAGTGGGTTGGGAAGAGCCATTTTCAATGGCTGCTTCTGTACACTACACCTTCTGATCCAATTTCTTTAAAATAAATAAACTCTGTAAAGCCTGTTGACCGTTCCTAGCGACATTGAGTGTTTATGGGAGAGTATGCCCCTCCATGAGTCAATACAATACTGAGCGTTATACCTCAAAAAAGATTGTTGTTCACTTTTCTTTCTGTATGTCCAAGTTTCATCATTGGTAGGTGCACTATATATTGAAATCTTTAATTCTTTGTATCATTTAAATCTGTGCGATAAATATTTGCACATTAGTACAGTATTACCTATCAGTTTAAGTTTTTGTGGATGCGCCTTGTTTTGCCACTGCATCTTACTTCCTGTCTGACTCTGTCAAATTGCTGCATAGGTCTGACCAAAGCAGACCCAGTTGGAGAAGCATTGAGGAAGAATGGCAAGCTGTCTGTGCGCCTCCATTCACTTCAAGGTTTTAGATTTCTATGGACATCATTCGACACAATAACTAGTGATATGGTAGGCCATTATAGATGCACTTTCAGATGCAGTTCTGCAAGTTCTCTGATTTATTCTTCACAGAGAAATGAAGTTTTCTCTGAACTAGAATTTTTTTAAATGATTTTTTTTCCTGATTGTCTGGTCGTTAACTCATCTGAAGCCTAAAACTGAATGATGGAATTAACAAAGTTGTCCATTATTTGGGAGACGACCAGATTTCCTAAAAGCTTGCTATTTATGAACTTCTATCACTGCTAGATGATGGACCTCCTGTTGTTTGCAAATAGTCTTGTGACCCTTCCCAGATTGATGAAAGCAGCATTGTCTTCTCTAACATTGCTTCACCAAACATTCCCAGTTTGGTGAAGTGCATTTGAATACATATTTACAGAATTTTTTACTTGAGGGTTGACTTAAGTGCACTGTATTTTATTTTATTGTTTGTTTTGTTTTTTAAGACATTGAAGCCCATAGGCATGATTAAAAAAAAAAAAAAAAGTACAGTGATTTTCAATTCAGGGCAAAATCAAAAAAATCTCGAAATCAAAACAACAGATTTCACTTTGTTGTTATTCAATAAACAAGAATAAAAAGCAATGGGTGTGTAAAACCTGGGAAACATCCCAATAATTTGGAAAATACATATGAATAAAAAACCTGTTTGTCAGGTTAAAAGTACCTTTTAAAACATATCCTTTAAGCAGCTGTTAAACATAGCCTTTATTAATTCCATATATCTGTAAATAACATGCATTCTTGTTGGTAGGCGGATTAATCTATATAATGTATTTCTTTTGGTGAATAAAATGACTAAAATCAGTGAAAAATGCTTCAATTTTGTACAATTCACCCCTTTTATGTGGTGTTCAACAACAGCATGCAAAACATTCCTTTTATTCTATTGTACTTTATCATTTAATCAAGGGTTTTCTCTACTATCAGCCTCTAACTATGTCATTCTTTTAATCTGTTAGCAGACAGGATGCTCCAGTTAAATTGGCAGCTCTAATACATATTAAACACACTGATGGAACTATAAACATTTTTTTGAACTTGTGTGAGTCCTTAGCATTGTGGAAGGACTTTGACATCCTTTTTTTTAAACAACTTTTTTCCTTTGATTCAAAACCTGCTTTTTTCAGAAGGACAAAATCCCATTTTCAGTTTGAACATTTGAGTATGGCTGACTCATTGACTGGAACTCTGGTTTTTCTTTTCTTTTTATTACTATCCTGAGAAACGTTAACATTTAACATGCTGTCTGAGTGCAGCAGAGTCTGGGCTGGAACTCCTGGGGTTTTTGCAATTTCTCCGAACATTCGTGCTCTGACCTTGAGGCGAAGTTGTTGCATTGTCGACACTTTAGAAGATTGGCAGCTGGCTTAGACCTTTTCCACCTGTGAATAATTTTTTCTTAGTATATCGTAATAGACTTCACATTGATAGAAAATGTCCCTAAAATCCAGGGGAGCTGGCTTAAACTTCTACGCTTACAGTCTTTGCAGTGGTCGTAGCATTGCGTTAGCAAACACAATTGTATGCTTCAGAGTAGAAAACAAACACAAATCCTACTTAAACAATGATGAGTCTGTGCATTTTAATTTTCAGTACCTGGCTGCTCTGTAGGTCATGATAAAAACTGCAGATTATGATCTAAAACAGGTAAGATCACTTCTAATATCTATCAATTTTTGACTGCAATAGGTTGTTCTGCTGCATTGCTCCTCCATCTATATGTCCTGTCCTCATCTCAACCCATCCATATGTACCAGGGCTTTCCCTGCTCCCTTTCTCTGTCTGGAATTACTGGAAAAAGTGAGGAGTGGGCAATGCAATCTAAATGTGCAGCTTTGTCTGAGCCGGAGGGGGCTGAAAAGAAAAAAAAAATATGGGATGAATAAAGCGCCATTGACAAAATGCAAACACGAGTCAGTCCCTGTCCCCCTCAGGCCCCATTGTCTCTGAGTGCTAGACGCCAGCAAAGGACAGGAATCTGAAGAGAGGGTGGACAGTGAGCTAAGAGTCACGGCTTTGTTTGGACGGCTGGCCTCAGACCCGGTCAAAGTGCACGCAAAGGAGAAAGAGGGGCGAGACATGGAGATGGAGGAGAAAGCACCGGATTTATTCGGCTAAATTGGAGCCATGATGTTTGTTGAAATCTTTTTAGTTTTTTTATATACCGAAATAAATAATATGAAACTGAAAACATAAGGATTTGGCACAGAAATGTATTTCTGAAACTAAAAAACAGTTTTGATTTAGATTGGCATTCATCCTTCTTGTAAATACAGACCAAACCTCTTATCATTCCCTCTGCAGATGGCCATGATTCCCTCTCACCTACACTCCAAGTGTTAATCAGCGCTCGATCACTGGATGACGAGGGTCTAATTTAACATGTTGCATCCATCATGTGGAAATGCTGCTTAGAGTTTGCAAATTCGCCCCAAGTTGCTCATTGTTCACACAATTAATTCAGCTACTGTATAGAGCAGCTTGCTTTTTTTTCTCCCACTTCCACAGATAATGCATATTCATTGGTTTCAGGGAGATTAAAAGCAGAGCAATAAAGGGTAGTGTTTGGTGCGTCGAGGGGTGTTCTGAGAAAAGGAATGGGCCGGGCCTGACCTGAGCTGAGGGGTGTGGTTGGGTATAAACCAGGGGACAGTAGGGTTTCTGTTGTTGTGCTGTTCTGAAGCCGTCTCTCCTGGCATCCCGCTCTCCTTTTAGCCATTTTTTCTGGTTTTCCCTTTCCTTCCACTCAGGCTCCCAGCTGAGTTGGGATTCTTCCTTGGCAAAATCCTGTCAAGGTTGCTGCATCCATCCATTTTTAGGGCGGAAGCAGAAACAGAAGCCAGAAAACCATGCTGAGAGTTTTGGCGCTGGCATCAGTCGTCCTCCTGGGAATAGGTAATAAAAAAAATCATCTTTTCATTTTGGAATTTTATTTTTGATGAGCTAACCAAAAACTTTTTCCTGAATTTCATTTTTCAGTAGAAGATGTTTTCTCACTGATGTGAGATCAAAGTTTAAATGAGAGATTTTCCCTCATTGTTTACTTAAAAACCAAAAACTTAGTGGAGATAAAGGAAGAAAAAAGCCTAAGTATTGAGTCATGGCCATATTCTGCAGTGAGTTTGAACTTCACTGATGTAGTTTAATTACTTTCTTGGATTAGATGAAGTGATTTTAACTATAATTCATCAAAAATGTCTTTCATGGTTTTACTGCATATGAGTTCTGTTGAAATAATCATAACATACATATTGATTGAAAGTAAGAGTGAGTGGGACTGCAGAGTATCGAGGAACACTGGTGAACGATGTCCTAAGTTAATCTTGACGTTTTGTGAGAGTGAGAGTACATTTGATGGAAAAATACATCACATATGGGGTTCCACAAGGCTCCAATCTTAGACCACTTTTATTCGTGCATTAATCCATTGGCAATGGAGTAATAAAATAAAATCTTCTACCATATGTTAATTCCACAAAACTAAAATATTTCTGTCAGTGCATGATCACAAGTCCTTATCATTGCTTAATTTAGTATTCAGTGTGCTCTGATGTGCTTCAGCTTAATGCTAAAAAAAAAATTATAATAATTTTCTTTTTGGTCCCAAACTGCAAGATTAACTTTAAGCACTAAAGTAGATTTATTGATTCAAAGAAATATATTTATATTGCATTAATTCACAACACTTGTCCTCTCAAGGTAGTTTGCAGAGTTACTTCAGTCAAATAATACAGATTGTTGAAAAAGGTTTTTCTTCTAAGGAAACCCAACATATTGCATCAAGTCACTGACTTAAAGAATTTACTCTTCCTGGATTTTGCAGCAATCCATGGTATTGAGCATGCATGTAGCGACAGTGAAGACAAAAAACTCTTAACAGGAGGAACCAAGCTCATACTTTACTTTAATGCTAAAAAAGGAAATGTAGACCTGCTCCTCAGGTGGCGTTTATAGGAAGAAACATGTTTAAGCAGACGAGCTTTGAGCCAGTTTTCAGTCAAGAGGTTGAATGATAGCACATATAGTAGAAACTGCATGTGCTCTCTCATGCTAAATTCTAGAAGCACAGCTGTTGTTTTGGTCTCTGACTTTAATTCTAAGATTCAAAATTTTGTCCATTACTAAATCATCCAGCTAGAATCTTAAAAGCATTGTTGGAATTAAAATTCTTCCTGTTGTTGGGTAATATTTCTTTTTCTAACGTCATGTTTGTTTTTTCAGAGGATTTGGAATCAGAAAGTTTAGATTCATAATATAAAAAAAAAACAACTTTGAACTCAAAGGTTAAAAAAAAATAATATTAATATAGTAAGTTACAGTTTACAATAATAAATGACAACGTTATGTAATTGAGAATTAATCAGGACTCTATTTAGAAATACATTTCCTCAAATAGTGCAGAATGTCGTCCTAGCTTTGCAATCATGCATATTTATAGGAATTATTACATTGGTTATCTAGACCCTGTGTTGGAGTTTAATCAGCAGTTGGTTTGTCATCAGTTGTATTATAACTATAATTTTCTCTAAACAGTTTTTTTCCCCTCAATCTGCTCAATCTTAAAGATCACATATATTTTTTCCAGACCCCTAAAAACATGAGACTCTAGTCTTTGACTTACATTTCAATGTTACTTCATACAACTTAGAGGGTTTTCCATGAGTAGAATAACTTTTCTTAAACACATCTGGTTTCAGTGCGCAAAACTAAACCTTTATCTTATAAACCTCTTAATGTCATACTTTAACACAGTTTCTTAGCTTTTTTTCCTAATAAATAACCTTGTATTAAACTAAACCAAAAGTGCTCCAACTTATCAATATAAAATGTATCTAAAATAAGTATTAGACTGAATAACTCTAAAAAGAAACTGTTAAATGCTTGATTTGCAACACTCCTGTATCTTTACTTATAAGCAGAGGTCTGTAGAAAATGTTTCATAAATAAACAGACATTCTTTGAAACCTTGTTAACAACATATTCTTGTATCTAACAGTATAAAAATCCATAACACAGTCAATTGTTTTTTTGTTTTTTAGGTTTAATCAATTTACTAATGTTCTCGCCAACACTAAGAAAATGAGTCATACTATATTTCCAGTCATTAAATTACTGCACTGGCTTCCTGTTTGCAAAAGGATTACTTCTATAATGCAAGTAAAGGCTTAAGTGCATCCCAGAGTTTCTTCTCAGGAATGAAAAAGCACCTCAGAGCATCAGAGGACTCCTCAGTTAATGCTCCTGGTACCATAGGTAAACAATGAGGAACATATCTCTCAGTTCTGCAACGTCTTGAAAACCTAAGATAAATAAAAACTGTTGGCTCCTTCAAATCCAGACTGAAAACCTGGCTTATTACTGCAACCTTCCCATAGCTGGTTTATAGCATTAAATATATCAGCTATTTATTAATTTGGATTTAATCATCTCAGTTTGTGGTGCTTTAAAAAAAACTGTATTATCTATATAATTTTTTATATATTTCTCTTACGTTTCTTTTTTATTATCCTCTAAAGTAACTTTAAATGACTAAATATGTAAGTTTGCCTTGTGGCATTTTTTTTTCTTTTGGTGCTCAGCTGCAGCAGGTGTGTCCTTGCTTCAAAATCAGCACTAATATTCTGATTTTAAACTGAGGTATGACTGACAAGAACACCCCTACCTCCCTACTACTCACTCTTGTCAGTTATTTTTAATTTTTTGTTTTGTTTTTGTTTTGCTTGTCTGAATTTTAATTAAAAACGTCAAGATGGATTTTATTGACAAGCCGTGCAGGGCTCTGTGATATCGCTGGAGGGCGTTCACAGTGAAAGCTATAAACTTCACTCAGGTTTTCAAAAAGGCAAAAGTCTGTGTGACTTCGAAGCTCATATACTGCAGCTGTGATGAAGCTGTGACCTGCTGAGGATCATCCAATGAGCAGAAGTGAACTCTACCAGGATTTTGCTCCTGAATGGTGCACCTCACTGGAAGTTTACTTTTTCATTTTTTGGGGGAATGATCAGGATTTGTTTTTAATTTTTGCAGCCTAAACTAAATTATTATTGATTCTAAATGCATGAAGTGGGCAGACAGTTAAGCCAATATTATCAAAATTGATGGTAGGAATCATAGTCTCCTTTGACTTTTAGATACTTAGACCTTAATCCAGCAACTATTGAGTGCAAATGTGAATCAGTGGAGTTTCTGACACCACACAAAATTTACACTTAGTCAGTCTGAGTGTGCATGTCTAATTATTTTGGAATCATGATATTGATTTAAAAAGCTACTCATTAATAAGATGATAAGAAATTGACTAAAGCAGCCCAAAAATAAAAAGTTTTCTGTATTCTGAGACACCAAAAAAACAAATTTGCAAACTTGCACTTTATTGTACTTCTTGCTGACCCAAACTCAACCTGTTTTTACACCTGCTTTGTGTCATGCAGCCCCTGAGGCGTCCCAGGCCATATCCATTTACACAGGGTGGGAGCGCCATGCGTTGGTGGGCTCTGACATCCGACTGTCCTGCAGCTTCTTCTCCTGGCGCTTTGTCTCTGACGACGTCTCCTTCAGCTGGAGTTACAGGCCGGATGGCTCAAGGGAATCCATCTCGGTAATGCTACCATTTACATTCACACACATGCTGCACCAAATCCCCAACTGTGTCAGCACAGGTGGACTTACAAAATGTACAGAAACAAAAAACTCTTTAATTTTATAGAAGCATTGATGAGCGAGTTGCTTTCTCCACCCTCATCATATCTGCAGCTGTTTCAGAGAAAAAGATCCAATAAATCACTGTGCACTATATTTCCACGAGCCGACAGCAGACAAACAAAAGATGGTAACAATTTCTGAAATAACAGAGCATTTACTGGCTGAAAACACCTCTCACACTGAGCCACAAAAAGAGCCAGCGCTTGCATTTTCTCCTTTCTGCTTAAATAAGAGCCTTGTGTGTTTCCTACTCACCACTTCAGGCCAAATTTTGGTCACAATGAGAACCATTAAAAGCCATCTAGACTTGCAAACAATGATTTCATTTTCCGTCAAAGCTCTGTTTTGTTTTGTCTGCCTCTGCCAGGCACAAAGAGGAGCAGAAATGTAGCCAGAAGGGCTTTTCTAAAGGGCTCTTTCTTTAAGAATAGGAAAGCATTTTGAAATCAAAGCAAACCTTATTAGGACTGTTGCATGCATACTTTCTAGTTTTAAGCAGCTAATAAGAGAGCCCGGCTCCCATTGCTGTCTGCATTGTCAGTGATTTACTAACGTGAATTAGTTGAAGAAACTTTCTGCCTCTCCTGCAGCACCCTCCTGCACTTTAATTTCACTCACCCTACTCTTATCGCTTCATCTCTCTAATCTCTCTATCTCCCCATCCTGACCATGCCTCCCTCTGTCCAGCTCACCTAATCTCCTCCTCTCCAGCCCTGCCGTCTTTGTCCCCGTATCCTCTCTCATAACTTCTTTCCCCTCCTCCTTCGCCTTTATCTTTCCACCGACAGCGTCCTCACTTTGAAACTGAGCTTTTCATTTTATTTACCAACCAATCTTCAGTCACTCATTTTTACCCCAACCTTGAAAGATCGACTTCTTTCTTTTTTTGTCCTTTTAAAGTGTGGTAATTGCTTTTAGAGATGTGGATAGAAACTTTACCATCAGTCCGCTCATGTCGGGGTTGAGACATTAAACAAGTCAGTTACTAATTCAATAAATATCAAGAGCTAAATTGCAGAAAAAGCTATTTCCATTGGAAACACGATCTAGAAATAAGTAAACATTTCTTAACCCTATAATGCAAAATGTATCATGTATGTATTTGATTCATATGGTTTCTGAAATGTTTTGCATCTGACACCTTTTGCATAATTTAATGGTAAAAACTTTGCTCAAAATCCTATTGTACACAATTAGATATACCTGATAATAGAGGGCAGAAGACTACACAAAAAATAATCTTAACTTATCGCATAGTAATAAATTATTAATATCAAAAATGTATTTCTGTTTTTTCTTTTTACATATTTTGGCCAAATAAGGACTTCAAACCAAAAAAAAGTAATTTTCTGTTTTGTTTTAGTCTTGGATCAGGCTTTAAAGGGTTAAATTAAGTGTTTTACCCTGAATTTGAGCAGATAAATTAGATGTTTGCCAATGGAGTTAGTATTTTTACTCTTAAAATAAGATAATTAGATAATGTGCAATTGAAATAAGACAATGCAATTTATTTTAAGTGTAAATTGTCTTGCTCCATTGGCAAAGTTTCTCACAAACCTCCTCAATTCAAGAACAAATGCACTCATTTTAAGAAAAAATGACTTATCTAGATTTTCATTTTTTCCAGTGTACAGCTTTTTGTGATCCTTTAACATTTGCTTGTATTAGCCTGTCAGGGAACAAAGGGAAAATAACTATTATAAAAGCTTTTTTTTACTTAATGTAAACAACTGGTAAATATCTAACATAAAATATAAACTATGCATAACTTTAACACTATAGTCCATTTTTCCTCAATCTCAAAAAGAAAGCTAATCTAGAATCACGATATAGGCACATGGATTGATGCAGGTTTGCCCAAGGTTGAACAGGGCCCACAGAATAGAGGTTGCCAAGCTTTCTTTGTCTATGACCTTGAGAAAAAATATAATGGTCTGAAATATTTGCACAGGTATGTAGGTACATTGTATTACAGTATACAGTTAAGTTATTTTTCCATTCAAAGTAGAAAAACAACATTTAATCCCTCAGCTTTTGAAAGAATAGCTCATAATAATTAATACTGTAAATAATATCTGAGCATCAAGTATGGCTGAAACGTCGTCCTGTATGAATCGATTTCCATTTACTGTCATACCACAAATTCAGATTGATCAGTGACTCCTGAGAGCTATTAGTCAATGTTACCTTCTCTTTCCTCCCCAGATTGCCCACTATGCCGGTGGTGAGCCCTACACTGACAACAAAGGCCCTTTCAAGGACAGAGTTGAGTTTGTGGGCAACCCGAAGAACCGTGATGGCTCCATCCTGCTTAAAAACCTGGATCTTAGTGACAATGGCACCTTCACCTGCGACGCCAAGAACCCCCCTGACATCGTGGGCCGCCCCTCCAGCGTCAGACTGCTGGTCTTTGAGCAACGTGAGTTAGAAAATCATCAAGCCCCAAGTAGCTTGCAAACTTCTTCATCCCTTCTAGGATTTTTTTTACATTTTATCACATCACAGTTTGTTGTGCATCTTTAAAGTAGAGCATTAATAAATAGAACATGCCTCCTTTGAAAAATCCTATGAACTTTGTATGCATTGTTGTAGTTTGGTTTCCCTAAATTGAATCCATGCAAATCATTCTCTATAAAAATGACCTAATGAGTGAAAAGTGTCCACTTGTGTGTTAAATAATCTATAAATGCCTCTGTAGTTTGATAGCGCACACTAATAGACAAACAGCATCTTAAAGAACAAATAACACAGCAGACAGGTAAAGAAGATCTGTCTAGAGACGTCTAGAGCAGGGTTAGGATATACAACGATATTTCAAATGGCATGTGCATGATTACTCTGATGGAGCTTCAAAGAACCATGGCTCAGGTGGGACAATCTGTTGACAGAGTGCAGAAATGAGGAAAAACAGCCATTGGATATCTTATTAAGGCCGTGCATTAAACTATCAGTCTGTGTTTTAGCCAGATTGGACCAAAATGGACCAAAATGTTTAGTGTTTGGAGAAAACAAGCACTACACATCAGCTTAAATACATCGTCCTGAGGGGACAAATGGTGCTGGCAATCTTATGGGGCAGCTTTTCCTTCTGCAGGGACAGAAAGGCATGGCAGGGCTAATGACAAGGCATTCCTGGAAGACTAGCTTTTACAGGCTGTATTAGATTTGAGACCTGGTCTGATGTTCGACTTCCTGAATGACAGCCAGACAATTTAGGTCTAATCGTGTTTGTGTCAGAAAATGGCTTAAAGTCTTAAATCCAACCCTTTTTTAAAGATTTTATTTACACAAACAAATAAAAAAAGGGTCCACCATTATCAGTTCCTCCCTGTTGGTCTAAATAAGTACAAGGAAGATTGTGGTTTTGCGGTGTTAGAATGCAAGGCAGTTCAAGTTGTATTAGAAGCTTTAAAAAGCTGATTTTGTTCTGCATGTCTCAGTAATTTTCATTCTATTGGAAAGCAAATATTCCCAGATTGGTGTAATCATTCCCAGCTCTGAAATTGATCTCAGTGCATCAGCATGTGCATATTTATCAGAGGAGTTGTCTTACTTTTAAATGAAATCAATTACAATTTTATCTGGATCTTTTTTTTCTAGGTTCCCATAAATTGTCTACCTCCTCCTTCACATTCTCTCCCTTATTTTCCATTTTCTCCACAATCTCTCTTTCCTTATATCCTCTTTTACCTCTGCTGTTGTACATTTTCATCCATTCAACCTTTCTCCGTCCTCCTTCATTTGCATCCATATCTCCCCCTGATTATTCATAAGTTATCTGTATTGATCTGATTCGCTCTGTCCTTCTACCCTTTCTTCTTCTTTCTCTCCTCCCCACTTAGTGCCCATTCAAGCGGGTGTGATCACAGGGGCCATCATTGGGGTGGTACTGGGCCTGCTGGTGCTTATTGTGGTCATCTACTACCTGATGAGGTTCCTGGTGGCACGTCGGGTCTTCAGCCTTAGCGTCAGGTCAGTGCCTGGACTTTGGAGTCTCTGCAAGGGGCGGGAGCAGAGGCCAGAGCCAATCCCTGGCACCGACACCTGTCTAGCCAAGGCGCTTTGATTTAGGCTGAATCCCATTTCACCTTTTGCCTGAAAATCTTAGCACTCAAGCCTGTGTTGCCATGGGTTAGAATAGTTTGGCCGAATGACTCATAAAAACAAAATCTCATTGCCTTGAAAGCAAATATGTAATAGCTGCTCTTGCATTAAACCATTTTACCATCACATAAAGATAAATACCAGCTTTAACCTTGCACTGCAACTTGAATTGTCACGAGATCTGAGTTCAGTCTAAAAAAAAATCCATCTTGAAAACTCGCTAATACATCCATCTCGTAACAACAAGCAAGTGGGACCAATGACATGCCTGCAGCATTTTTTTTTTGAGCAGGACATATAGGAATAACAAGAGTCAGAAGGGCCTTGCTGGGGAATTCCAAACACGGCTATGATGGAGGACTCACCTGGTTGTAGCTAAAATAGCAACAATTTCTTGTTTAAAAAAGGAGCAAAGAGAAACAGTTTGTGCATTTTTAGATGGGAAAATTGCCTGTGCTTTTCTCCTGACAGAATTTCGAAAAAGTTGATCAGCTTATGAAATAATACCGCTGAAAGTGTATTATGGATGGCGGGTACTAGCTGCTCGTACCAGCACGTCACCCAATCAGCTCGAAGTATTGTATAAAACGTTCCTCCTTTTCACGGACAGACTAAAAGGCTGCCATCCCAGATTGATAACATAGAACACAACTCAGTTCTACACACGTCAATCTGGCTACTGCCAGGTTAATCCAGCTTTACCACTGTAGTAGCGATAAATCAACCACTAGCTAAGCCAGGCTGCACAAACACATATATCAGCCACTGCAATGAATTCATCCAGATGTGTTCCAAATTTTATGTACAGCAATGACCCAATATGAAAATTACTTAATACCGTTCAACATTATGCAAATACTTTGTATGTACTGATGAAGATTTTCTCAGTGTTCTGGTAAAATTAGTATGAGCCAGGGGCAATTATAGAGGACAAAAATGTAATTCTCCCCACATATGAGTTTTCCCTTTAATTTGAAAATAATATGGATTTTAATACTAGATGGGGACATATCTTTGGGGGGTGGGAGTGTTAACCTATCAGTTAGAGCAGTGCACTTGGGCCCTGAGAAGGTTCGATCCCCACAGCCTCCACTCTTGGTCTTTGAGCAAGACCCTTAACCCCACATTGGTCCCTGTGTGCCGCACAATGGCAGCCCACTGCTCCCCAAGGAGATAGGTTAAATGCAGAGAGTGAATTTCTCCATTGTGAGATACATAAACTTAAATTATTATTATCATTATTATTGCAGTGTAAAATAGCAATAAACCCCAACATTGAGCATTCACACTCTTGATCCCAATAGACCTTATTCCTATTAGAAGTGCATTAAAAGCAAATGCATTGTTCAAAAATATGACTTGACTGAATCTTACACAAAATGTCACTTCTCATGTTTAGAAATACTAAGCGGTTGCTAGAAGGTATTTTTTTACAACTTGATACAACATAATATATTTTTGGCTAGCAGGCTGTTAAAACATCATTTTTTGGAAAAAATAAATTAGATAAATTATCTGGGATGCTTTTTTTTGGCACTATTTGGTCGCTACAGGAGAGGTAAGGGTCGGGATAACCCTAAAAAAAATGGGATTCAGCCTCAGTTCTTTTATTTACAAGAAAAAAAGAAAAGAGCTTTAATATTAGGAGGCGATAACAAGCTTTAGATTAGATATGATCACCAAAACAGCAAGCATAGGTCCAAAGTAGGATGATTAAAAGTGTGAGGGGACATTCTCTGAGTGGATAATCCACCAGATCATGACGATGATGGATCCATTGCCTTGCAAATTCCTTTCTCATCCTAAGACATCTGGCTCCTGGGGGCTGTGTCTGAGACAGACCAGTAGATTAAGATGATGCTCTCTTTATTATAGCTGGCAGGCAGTGCTGCCCTGTGACCACTGGAGGGAGAGATAGATTCGACATCCTGACATTGTCTTTCTTTTGTCCCCTCTAGCAAACATGGCAAGAAAAAGAAAGAGGGATCACAGCAGAGACAGGCAAGTTTCCTTTCTCCTTCTCCTCCACCTCTTTACTCCTTCTACACTCCCTCCCCTCCAGCACCCTCCTCCCTACCTTCCTCCTCTCCCACACATGCATCAAATGCACCAGATTGGCCCGCTGTCATCATCAGACATGGTTTTTGGAAAGATTACAATAGCATTCAGTGATTGTTCGGAGAATTTGGGATCAGGAAGCGCGTTGTCAAAGGGAATATTAATCTCTTTTGTAAAGCAGCACAGCCGACATGACAGTGAATAGAGGCATACTTTTGTAATCGCATTTCCCCCCCAATAGCAGTGCAGGCAGCTGCATTTTTGCCTCACATTCAGCAGACTCCGCCTTACAGTAACATTACAACAAAATAACATGCCATTCAAACCCTGCTCCCCTCTAGCTTTAATAACGGCATTCAAGCTGGTGAAATCCTCTTGCTATCTCAGCGTTCAGCTGGGCTTTCTATCCTGTGGCCCTCGCCCTTTTCTTCATTTCCCTCCGGACGGGGGGGCCCCAAACAGCCCTGGGCCAAAAAATCAACGTAGCGGCTGTGAAATGACCCAGTCTGGGTTATGGGGACTAATGCGGGCGCTGTGGACTGAATGGAGCTGTGATTTGCTCGCAGTGGGGAGACAGACAGGAGCTGCTGATTTCGCTCCCTGGGAGTCAAATAAAAAAATCACTGGGCCTATTATGGTCCAGGCTGTTATCAGTGCTTTTACGCTGCTGTGCTCCAACCATGTTGGATTTCTGTTTTTTTTTTTTGTCCCCTTCTCTTCCTTGTGGGAGTGCGATCGCCTCAAGAGGTGGATTAATCAGACTTTTTTGGTGGCTTGTATGCTTTTGTGAAAACAAGCCACCAGGGCAAGTTGTGTTTGATTACTCTGCGGTGATGTGGTGGGCTGCAGGGTTGCGTGGGAGTATTGTAATCGACTAGAAGCAGCGTGCTGATAATGAGAGGGGGGGAGAAAAGTACGTCAGGGGAGTTGAGTTCAAGGCATTTTTGTCAATTAAAACTCAGCTTTGAAACGGGAGACGCGCGAAGATACCCAAGTCGGGAAATCAAAGGTGCTGCTGTGACAGCTTTGTCATTTAGCCGCAGGTAGACTGAGGTAGCGGTATGGCAACACATTGTGACATATAATCAAACCACACACATATCTCTAATTACTCTTTTTAGATAGCACTAATAGCTTTCCTCTGAGACTAAATTACATTACTTATCAGGGAATTAAAGACCTCCAAAATATATTCCGTAAAAGTTTAAAAAAAAATCCACTGGACTTTGTTTCCAAGGTTTGAAGACGTTTCGCTTCCCCTCCCGGAAGCTTTCTCGAAACGTCTTTAAACCTTGGAAACCAAGTCCAGTGGATTGTTTTTTAAACTTTTACGGGATGACTGAGAATTTTCATCAGCATAGATATAATTGCTACATGTAAAAATTTTGAATTCATTAAAAAACTTACTAGTAAAGCTCTGGCAAATATAAACCTGTAAGAAACAGAGTCCCAGTAAGAAACATTCCAGACATTAATGTGACACCTATAGTTCAATTATAATCTCAGCATGTCATTGACTTCTGCAGATTCCTGGTAATGAGCTATCCATATGTTTCAGGTGTTTTGACAAGTTGGAAATCTGTGACTCTCAAGGGCTGTAGTGGGAATTTCTCACCTTATGTCACAAAAGGCACATGTGGAAACCTGTTTTTGCAAAAGCAAATTTGGACTGATTGATGATTTACAACAAAAAAGACCCCAAAACTGATTGTTTTTACTCTGCAGGTGACAATCTAGATGTAAACAGGGCTTGGTTTTTTTCAAAGGTCTGAAATGTAGCTTCAGAAATGTGCTTTTTAGGTTTAAAAAGATGCTATAATGTTCTCATGTGAAAACCAACGACTGTAGATAAGTCTGAAATAACTCACACTGTGTCACTAATGAACTCCTGTCTTGCTCCCAATTCAATTAATTTAAATTTATTTCAATTCAGTTTATTTATATAGCACCAATTTCAACACATTTCACCTCAAGGCACTTTACAGGAACAATTCAGTCAGGGTTTTTTCATGGAAAACCAGCTGAATGCATCAAGTCACTGACTTGAAAGACATGCTCCTCCTAGATGAGCTTGTGGCAAAGATTTTGCATTATGCATTTGATTCTTCAGCAATACCTCACACTGAGCAAGCATGCAGCGAAAGTGGAGAGGAAAAACTAGCATAACCTGGCTCAGTGTGAGGAGCCTTGTTCTTCAAGGAGATAGAAGCAGACATATAAAAAGAAGCAGATATCCAAAGGTAGTTGTTAATAGGGGTGTAAATCACATCCATCATGGCGATTCGATTCAGTATCGATTTCCTGACCCAACGATTCGATTATTTTCGATACTCAAGAATACACCACGATTCGATTCGATTAATCGGTTAATTTTCTTTTTTTTTATTATTATTATTTTTTTTTACACCTTACAGGCTAGACAAAGTTTCAAGTTTGAAATAAATCAATGAAAGCTGTAATATCATTATGCATTTTCTTTAGAAACAACAGCAAATAACAGAAGTAGAAAAGTTGCATCAAAAAATACTGCAAAAATACTGCACAATATCAGTGTAATGAGTTCAATGCAATACCTCGGCTCCAGAGAAACTGTCCAACATATTTTTTTAGAATGTAATAAATATACTCAGGAAAGAGAGATGTTGCGTAGAGAGTTAGACAGGAATAAAAATAAACTAAATATAAGGGAATTGTTTCAAAGGTCATCTGGGGATGTAGTTTTTGGTAGTATTTTTAATTTTCTAAGAAGAACGGGTATTTTAGGGAGAATATAATAGTTTGTCTGGTCCATACTCCATTCTGGAAGGTGGCGGTAATGCACCTATAAGTTCTTTGCCAACCGCCATTAAAAAAAAAAAGAAGAAGAAGGCTCCAGTGTTGACGTCACCGCCCCCTTGAGAGACGCTCCGCTGCTCCTCTCCCAGATTGTAGCTGACCGCAAACAGTGCTGCAGACAGGAGGCCGGCTTGTTTTTGTTTTTATGACCGAAATTGCGGAAAACAACTCGTGAAGTTTGACCCGCTAGAAGAGCGAGGTGCGCGAGAACGCTGGGACCTTTTTTCCAGCTGAATCTCCGCTCTTTTTGGCCCTCATGTCCCTCCGTCGTCGGACTAAACTCGCCCCCACTTCCTCATCGCCTCGGCTGTATCTAGACCCACAGCGTGTAGCCCAGACCACGCTTCAATACTGAGCATAATTTAAAAATGTCTGTGTGAAGCTTACTGCAACAAACTGCTGTAAGAGTATAACCAGGAAGCGCGGTAGGAGGGCAAAATGGGTTTAGCGGCACCGCAGCACGGGAGGGAGAATTACGCCCAGGAGCAAATGGATAAAAATAGACCGGAGGAAAAAAAAAAACATGAATCGATTATCTTGCGGACGTGTCGATGCATCGGATCGTCGTCTTTTGGATCGATGCATCGATACAAAACGATTATTATTTACACCCCTAGTTGTTAACAAGCTCCACAGGAGGCCCTGTCCAGGAAAGACACAGTCAGGCAGACAAGCTCTGAACCAGTTCTCATTTCCAAGGATAAAAGGAGCACATACAGTTAGTCACAGTAAAGGAAACAGGACTACACTCTTGCTACTCCTCCTCTTTGCCCAGAATTTCTGGGCATATGATAATTTAAATAGGAAGTTGCCTCATTAAGGCTAACATTAGCCTCTTATTGCAGCCAGGTTTATATAAGACAACATAGATCGATCTATTTATTACAGATCAAGACATTAACCCATAAACATTTTAAAGAGAGCGCTCTTATGTTAAATAAACCACAAAATTTCTCTCAATAATGATTTACTCTTTTAGGATTTTTTCCTAATTTTATAGATTTTTGGTCAATGTTTTCAAGTGAAGTCGATGCTCACATGCAAAGGCTAATGTTACCATGCCTACTGTCTGCTACTGATAATTCAGCCCATAATATTTCTCAGAGTAGTTCTGCTTAAAAATTTTGAGCATTGTAAAAAGGCTTTAATCCGTTTTCTCCCTTATAGTGGTGAAGAGCCAGTCACATACAGCCTCTGTTTTTCCTTGTATCAATAATGGAAAGAAAGGTTGAAATGTAAAAAAAAAAGAAACTTTCAGCAACATGATACATTTTTAAAAACCCTCCACATTAAAATGTGCTGTATTTTATTTTCCAAATAAGCTGCAATGCTGACTGTGTGGTTGACAGAAGGCTGCAGACAGTATTTCAAACAGCTGGGATGGTGATTGGTGGAGGAGTTTCATTATGTATGCAGATAGTGATAATAGGAATGTGGGTTGATGGAACCTTAATATGTGTAATCTTTAAAAAAAAAGTAAAGTTTAAAAATCTATTTTCTTTTTTAGTGGCAGGGCAGCATATCTACTGCAGACTTTAACTAAAAATTAACAATCGCAATCAGTTTTTAATACACATATAAGAACCTCTGTCCTGAATCTAATGACCTCGCATTTCAAATTCACATGAAATCAACTTTTTATCAAAGATACCTTTAAGAGCAATTATTTAATTTTTTATTTTTTTTATCCATTTAATTTTTTTTTTAATCCTGAATCCCTAATTTAATCAAAAATATCTTCTGCTGGTCAGTCTCATACAAGACGATAGGCAGAAGTTTAATAAACAAACACAAAGGATGGTAAAACAGGAATTTCCAACACACTAAGTTTAAACATTGACATTGTCCAGAGTACTTTAAAAGGGCTAAGTGGAGAATAATGCAAGCTATTTATATTCTACTTCATACTCGTCGTCTCACGCTTATCTGAAACTGGGTCCTTAGGGCAGCATTTCGAGTAGAGGGGCTCAGACTTCCCTGGAAGAAGCCAGAGGTGTTCCATGACCCCCTGAAAGCCATACAGCGTGTCTTGGATTATCCCCTGGTTCTCCTAGTGTGGGACATGCCTGGAACACCTCCAGAGGGAGGTATCCTGTGGGCATCAGAAA